ACATGACAAGAGAAAACAAGCGCGCGAAAATTCATTCATGACAACTGACTGCACACCAGTAACTCAATAAAGTTTCATCTTCAGACAACTGTGAGGACAGTTTCGCATTTCTGGTGGAAAAACGTCGGCCATTACTTTGGAAACAATGTCTGTCAAAAGATTTGCTTTGTAAACATCAGCACACATGTCAGCAGCGTACACCCTTGGGCAAATAGTAGACGCTACATCAACCAATCAGAGCGTGCGCTTTGCTTCAGTTATGTTATAATAATTGATGGCAGCCAAAAATGCAATTGAACTTCAGCCGGTTCAGATTACATAACAGGCACAGTGAGAAAGATTATTTTAAAAAGTTAACTTCTTTGTCTTAGGCAAAGTTTTGGAATGTCTATAAGAAGTTCCTATACGAGGATAACGGGAATACATTCCTGAAAACATAACTTGATTCACTGGGTTTTAAATTTGCCGCCATTTGCAAAATTCAAATTTATTACTTGCTCGATAGCTTTTCGAACAAACTTAGAAACTTTGTCCAGCAAATCATAACAGCGAGCAACATTAGAAACATAACGAAATGCTGGTTTATACAGTATGCCCGAGCTAAAACTAAAATTTGCTTGAATGAAATAAATATATATATTAAAGACAACCAATATGGCGGATTCTCAATTCCTAATCTCAGTTCTCTCTCTGTGATTCTTAGAATAGAGAAAAAGGAACCAGATTACAATATGAATTCCGTATATTAATACAGTCTTCATAAAATGAGATAAGAAAGTTCATTTACTTACCAAGAGGTTTGAAACCATCATAGTCAAATATCTTGTTGAGTCGAAGCCACCTCGTGCGAAAATTCTCTCAAGTTGGACGATCGATAGGTATTGTGGGGTACTTTTTCTTTAGCCTCCCCTCCCTAGCAGCCCTACCGCGCGTCCAACTTGGCCAAGAACTCAAAGCGTGTAAGAGGTGTTTATGATAAATAAATTCTCGAATTACCTATAAATAACTTGCGTTTTCAATGTCAAAGACTCAATGAGGAAACTGTGCATCAACTTGCGTTCTTCCGACCTTAGTAAAATTTCCCGTTAGTTCTGCCCAGCAATTCCCTGTGCTATAACCTTTAGGAAGTTCTCTTATACGTTTAGTGCTTTCTCCGTGCGTTTCCGGGTCAGTTGCTTCGTCTTTCTCCCATTCCTTCCCCTTGGAACCGGCTGCTTCCCTTGCACAATCCTTGGTCGTCCCCATGCGTTCTCAGTGCGTTTCCCATGTGTTCCCTTCCGCCCTGAGGGACTCCCCGTTTTGAACATTGGGGATGCTTGTCGTATCGCTCATCGATGTAAATCAAGGATTTTATTCTGACTTCGCGTGTTTAGGACGAAACACCACTACATTTAACCGTCAAAGTATCTTTTAGGGTGCACTCCAAGAAATAATTAGAAAAGCGCTGTTATTACCGTTTACTGCATTTGCTTGTTTGTTACTTTCCTCGCTCTGCCCTACGCCGCTCCGGTGCATACCCCTCTGGTGTATACCCCTCCGATGTATACCCGTCTGGTGTAGCCCTCGCCCATTTTTTATCAGTAATTTGCGTTTCGTCTCGCTTTCCGCCCGTTCTATGGCTATAAGTTCCCTTTAGTTGTAATGCGTTATTTCAACGTTCCGGATCTCTACCTTAGGTTTTCCCCCTTACTTTACTTTTCCCGTTGTTCCTTACTTTATAACTCTAACTCTCACAATAACCTCACGGCTTAAACTTGCAACTAAGCTTGGGACGTCATCTAACCTTGTCCAACAGCCAACTTTGGCCAACACCCAACCTTAGCTTGCATTTAACTTTGTACTGACATGCAACCCGTGCACATTGGATTCAGGCGTGTTTCCTCCCACCCCCGCCCCGCTTGCCTTCGCAATCTGTGAGTCCTTCATCTGTTTATCCGTCCTTTCCAGCGTCTGACTCCCAAAATTGTAACACTTAAACTTGGCTGACACCCTTAGCAACACAAATCGTTGTCCATGGCTCCCATACACTCTCCATTCTCTGTGACCGGTGTTTCGAAGCGTTTGTTCTTCCTTAAACCTTGTGTCTTTTAGAGCATTACTTCCGTTTGTTCCGCTATACGTTCTCCGTGTGATCCTCGCTTTCCGTCGCACATCTGGCGTGCTCCCGTATGTTTCTGCTGCGATTTGATGCATGACTTTTCTTATACCCCCAGGGGTCTCAAATTGTCACCCGCCTTTAGTTCCCGGGCCACACCCTTTTAAGGAAGACAAGAGAACCTTTACTCCGATGTATCATTTAAAGAAGCATTGCAACCTTTTGCAATGCTAAATTTGTATACCTATTCAAGTAATGAAATCGTTTTATCAATGCAAAATAAACAACGGAATTTTTCTTGTTGTTAGGTTTAAGTCCAGAAGATATTTTTGACGAGGCCGTAGCTAACATGATTTGTGATGGACTTGAAGACCTTCGCAATGGCTGTGTAAAGATTTACTATGAGCAAGATGAAGCTAAAAAGGTAAACAGCAAATGTTGTAAAGTTCGAGTAACGAAACTGAAATCTTAATGTATATTTTCTTTCGGTCCTTCGTCAATTTGTGTCATTCGCTCAGTTATTTTTGTTTATCCGTCCCTAGTAACGTTCATTCTGTTACTTCCCTCTAACATTATTTAATTTCCAGTACATGTAGTGATCTGTGCCTGTATGGTATTGGCCAGCCTGCGAACGCAGATGTATTTCCGTCGCTTTCGGCGCGGACAAGCGACAGCCGGAAATACGTGTGCGTTCGCAAGCTATGTATCGCAAGCTATGTATCGGTGTATGTGTTTGTGAGCGTGTGCATGTTTAGATTCATTCGCCACTTTAGAAACGGGAAGTAACCTGGGACAAGTCTCATCTCGCAGTGGCTTGTGGGATCGTTACTGGGAACAAAATAAAAGACGAGAAGTAACGGTCCCACAAGCGACTGCAAGATGCGACTCGCCCCAGATTTCTTCTAATCTCGTTGTTAACGTGATGAATTCGGTCCTTTCGTTCGCCGGTTTCTCCCGGTATCCCTCATCTTTTCTTTTTTTTTTCTGATTTATTTGTTACAGGAGGAAATGAAGAAAGAATTTATTGAAAGTACTCTTCCAGCACGACTCCAGAAACTGGAAGCCATTTTAAAAGATCATAATGAAGGCAAGGGTTTCTTTTTAGGTGACAAGGTGGGTAAATAAACTTTTTTCTCGTACGAGGGTTACTCCAGCTCTCCGAACCATCTTTTACCGCTATGGAAAGAGTTATTCCAGTTTTCCTGCGGGTCAAAAGCGCGGGCAATCGCGATAGGACAAGATATCCCATCTTGCCCGCTGGTGTAGCCAATAATTAACAGCGCCAGACTTGGCTATCCCGCTCGCGGAGCTAGCAATAAATACATTAAAGTTATACATATTTTATCCCTTGCAGTTGACCTACGCAGATATCACTTTCTTCGACCTTGTGAACCTTTTCTCGAGTGGTGAGCCAACGGTCCCGGAACCACTTGAGAAGTTTCCGCTGTTGGTGGATCTTTACAAACGCTTTTTGGAGTTGCCAGGAATCAAGGCCTGGGTCGAGAAACGCCCGAAAACTGACCATTAAAAGTCATGTGATCATCGAGGTGTTTGATCACTGGACTTGGCAGTGATAAGGCAAAGCCGAAATAAAATAGCTTCTGAGATATCTGAAATGTGTGTACACAAATGTTACTGACTGTTATGGGGGAGGTTGAGGTAGAATAGCGACCGTGGGGGGAAGGGAAGATCGTGACGGAGTAGAAGTGAACAGAGTAGGACAAGCCCCAGGAGATGAGAACCACTGACGAGGGGGCTGAGAACATAAAATATCGGAATTGAGAAATCCCCAGCCCCTCTTTTACTTTTGGTTTATAATGTTTGTACGCGAAATTTTTTCTCTGCTATCTTAAAAACCAATCCTTATTAAAAACAGCGCCTATTTTTTTCCAGTTCGCATGCATCTTAATGGCTGCTGGGAAATTTACCAATGACGTCAGTTAACGTTTTTGTTGTTCTGCTAACATTGACTAGAAGAGTTCTAAATAGACCCTAAATATAACTTTTTCTCGTTTTAAACTTCGTATATGTTAAGCAAAGAACACCAAGCTAGGAAATCACTTGCAACCTACCTTTACCTCATTCACCTCGCAAGGTTAAATTCGAATTCGCTGGTTTCACTCGAAACTTCTTTGAGTAAGGTACACGCTAATGCGAGCAGTGAGCGGCAGCAACGAGCATTTCGAAAAAAGCCCCCGCAGAAAATAGCCAAAAAAAATTACGCGCGCTGATTGGTTTAAAATCGTGTTTCTATTTGACAATTACATTATGAGCTCGAGATTTCCGTTGCGTGTTGTGATAGTTGATCGACGAGGGCGCAGCAGCGAATAATCTAAATGTTTTAGAATAGATCTACCAGTCGTCCAAAACTTTATCGAAATCCTCTTCACAGACAGTACACCTGGAATGTTGAAGCGTTCAATTTCTCCTAATCCTAGTTCATCAATAACGCGTAGGGAAAATTGGACATGATATAATGTGTTGTTTTAGAGTTGGTATCTCTTAGAGGGGTATCGAATGGTCCCATTTAATTTAAAGGTGCTCGCAAAATTAGGCCTTCGCTCGAATTGCTCGAAAAATTTAGATGTGTGCTCGCTTACTCGTGCTCGCGAAAGTTTTGCAACTGCTCTCATGCTCGGATTTTTGTTAAAATTCTCTGCCGTGTAGCGGAAGCATAATTTACATCTTGGAAACAAAAATTGACGCTGGAAAAAATGTTTGCCGTATGGCAATTCAAAACAAAGAAAAGTTAGGGTAACATGCACGCGCTATATGAATGCTTCTGGAAACATGTTTCATGTTTTATTGAAACTGACAGACGTAAGAATTATTCGTGAAAGGCACCCGCAAAGGGGAGAAAGTAATCTAGGGCCCGTGTGACGACAAGAATATTACTATTTCTATTTGACCTTCAGAGCCTGTCAGAGCTGTATGGCTTCAATTGATTGGATCATGGAAGCCTCGAAATGAAGCTTCATTGCGTTAAATCTTTTTCAGTCAATCAGTGGGAAACACGGTTTGCCGATCATCGAGACCGAAGCTTGAAATGCTTGTCAGATTAAATGCCACTTTGTGTACATTTCCTAAGAATTATATAACTAAAAAAACATATTTTTATGTCACAACTGTTCAAAGTCTGGGAGCTTTTATCTTCGTTCTTCTCGTAGTGTGTTCACAACATCAGGAGCTAGGGTAACTTAAGTGCCAGGGTTACCCTCCTTCCTACCTCTATGACATAGCGGGATTAAGTAAACAGATGAAAAAAAAAAAAGAGATACTGGACTTATTAAGCACTTCAAAAGTTTGCTTTTATTTGTCTACAGTTAAAAATCGTACATTTTGTTTCTTCAAACATAGACAGTGATACCTGCTGATCAGTGCTCAGTTTCTGGGCGTTTTTCTAGCCAGGCCTTAATTCCGGGAACGTCACACACTTGCTTGTAATGTTCCACTAACTTTGGGAATTTACTGAGCTGCTCGGGAACTTCCAGTTTACCTTTGCCTGGAAAGTTGTTGAAGAAGTCGAAGAACATAATGTCAGCATAGGTCAACTGAAAAAAATGAAAAAGACGACCTCTGAAGTTATATTAGATGGACGATTATTCTCCAGACGAAATGACTAGATTTTCGCAAATGTTTGTGTTCCGAGGGTTTTACTCCGGGTGCTCTAGTTTTCCTCCTGGGGGGACTCCCATATAAAAACAACGGGCGTGCTTGTCGTACCTTTTAGGGGTTGAAAACGCGGTTTTGGTAGCTCTCAGGGTGTTCAGGCTTACAAGGTCCACAGCGGTACCTTTCAGTGTATTGAGCCGAAAAAATATGGCAGCTAGGAGAAAATTTGTTGTTTTAGAATTGGTACCTCTTAGACTGTTAGGGGTGAAAAACATTTCAAGCTACCCCCTCAAAACAGGATCTTGGCACCTTTCAGGGGAATAGTAGCCAACCAGAACGCAGGATTTGGTTCATCCTGCCCGCTCACAGAGCTAGTCATGTAAAAAAAATACATCTTACTAACCGAGTTCGAGGGCCGTACTGTAAGTTACGGACCAAGATTTTTCCCCATCGATTTATGGCTCATGCCCGAGAGGCTCGAAAGCAAAACGAGTCAATTTGAAATCGTTGTTAAGTGACTCTTAAAGTCGTTTGCAGGTTTTAATACACATTTTTAGAGGTAAAGGAGAGTTTTAAACTTTTATTTGCTAAAAACGTAAAGAACACTTGGCGATAAATCATGAAACATTTTGACAACAAAACAGCTTTAAATTTTGACGGGCCGCACAGTAGAATACGTCCCGCTAAATTGACCAATCACAGCGCGCATACTAACTGAGAGCTATAATAAGGTGGCTTATTGACCTTTATCAACCACAAGTTGATAAATAGCTAACAACAGATCTGATCTGCCAACAGATGCAGCCCAAAAGTATTTTTTTATAAGAAACTATCAACTTTCTATACTCATTGAACTGAAGAGCAATAGTAACAAACTTAAAGTCAACTACCCAGTGTTTCACTTAACTAATGGAGACCTGCACACAATCTTAAACCTTACCTTGTCACCAAAAAAGAAAGGGCATTTTAGCAGAGCGTTGAAATACTCAAGTCGGGCGGGAAGTGTGGTGCCATTGAACTCTTTGCTGAGTTCCTCCTGTGATACAGACAAGAAACATATTCAGGAAACCACAAACCACATCAGTCCTTGGTCCAAAATAATGTGAAAACTGGAGTTAGGTGGGGGAGAGTGGCTTCAAATTCTTCTCTGATTTCCTCTTGTAAGACAGACAAACAACTTAGTCAAGGGACAGCCTCAGGCAGATACAGGATTTTAGAGAGGGGAGTTCGAGATATGGGCCACTGAATGTGGTCTCCTGCAGGAGGTCAGGGGACTATCTTCCCTGGACAATTTTTAAAATTGAGGTCCTCGGAAATGGGATATCCCACATTCTGAGGCCAAGTCAGCGTGTTACAATATCTCATTTTTTTAAACGAGGGGGGGGGGGGCGACCCCCTGAACCCCCCTTGATCTGCCCCAAACAGTGAACATCCTAAGTATCAAAATGCACAAGAACATGGGTTCTACACCCTCAAACAAATGCTATTAAATAAACCTTTTTGGTCTCATCCTTTTGCAAGAAAATTTTAACTAAGACATTAGTCAGGTCATAAATAGGCTGGGGGAAACTGCAGATTTTGGACTTAAAGAGGATATCGGTCTTGAGAAGTGGGCAACATACCCCAACCCAATTTTTGTGAGAGTAACCCTCCCCCAAACCGGAAGACAGCCAAACAAACTAACTCATTTAAGTGTTGGCAAACATCCTAAGTGTCAAAATACACAAGACATGGTTTCTGTACCCTTAAATAATACCTTTTTGGTTTCATCCTTTTCGTAGTACATTTTAATTATGGCGTTCCAGAGATCAGTAACACCATCACAAATCATATCAGCCACCCCTTCGTCATAGTCGTCACCAGGGCACAAGCCTAAAAAGAAAATAATAGAAGAAAATTTGACAATGCTTTGGTGGACAAAAACTGCAAAATAAAATTGAAAGGCCATTAGTTCCACTTACCTTAAAGTTACAACAATTTTTGTAGAATAATTTGTGGCTTATAATTAAAAATACAGGAAGGTGTTAAAATCAATGATGGTAAATTTGACTATGTTACACCAGGACAAATTGATGAAGATTGCATTAAACGCCCTCTAAATAGGTTGTATGGAAAATGAAGTCTGCCTGAGAAGGCTAATGGCTGAGTGTGGAGTATGCGAAAAGTAGGGTACGAGAGGATATGCAGCGTATGGAAAAAAATAACGAGAACTCTCTCTTTCTGTCAAAAGAAACCACTCTCCTTTTTCCTCGCTTCAGCACTTTCCAAACTCTATATCTTCCACACTACTCATTTTCCAATTACTCTGAATCTCACATTTTTCTTCCCACCAAATATAATCTCAGGGGGACTATACAGGTTTGAGAGACACAAGTTATTAAACAATTACCATAATATTTAATTCTATGGGCACTGCCTTAAAACTCATAATAATGTACCTCCTTTTTTGCATATGTATTTCATCATAGTTGCAGATTGGGCAAGAACTTTTCCCTCTGGAGTCACCATGAAAGGCATTTGGCCAAATGGCGGCCGGCCAGCTAGAAACAACAGAATTTAAAACACTAAGTATTATTTACCCAAGGCAAATTAATTAAAGTAAAGACAACTTCCACTGCCATCACATGACTAATAGTGCCTATCCTCCCTCCCTCCTTCCCCAGGCCAATCACAGGGCATTAGCAAAAAAAAAAAAAAAAAAAAAAAAAACCACAACAGGAAAAATGGAAAATTTCCAAGGGTGGGGACAANAGTGACGACTAAGTCCACAGCTATTGTCACAAATATTCTTGAATCTGCAAAAAAAAAAAAAGAAAAAAAACCACAACAGGAAAAATGGAAAATTTCCAAGGGTGGGGACAAATAGGGTCAGGGTCATGTGAACCACCATGTAATTAACCAGCTGCAAGCAGTCTCCCTTTTGCTTGAAAATCCATGGGGAAGAATGCAAAGAACCCAACACAAGAGAACAGTCAAGAGCGTGTGAGTTGTGCCAGCATATGATACGCAAAGCCACAACATCATCACTCACATGTCACTGCACTCACAGTGAAATTTGCACACTCACAGCTTGTTTTGCGTTCTTTCCCACAGGTTTTAGGGCAAAAGACTGAGACTGCTGGCAGTCTTAAGTGAGTCATGCAAGCCATTCCAGTTAGCCTTAATTAAAATAACAGTCTAGTTAGCCTAAATAGAACCTGGTTAGTCTAAAATTATAACTCTTCCATCTACAAAAAATGGTTTCCTTAATTAGCTTGTGACCTAAAAGCCAGTAAGGATTATTGGTTCGCATGGTTTGCTTACTATGTAGCCGAACTGTAGCGTAAATAACATCCCTTTTACCCTAAAAAGCACTGCGTTTAGTCTAAAATTAGCGCTCTGGTTAGACTGACATAGCTTCCTTAGCTTGTGGTTTGCCTTTTTACTGGGTTTTGGCTAGGGCTTCTGGCTCGCATGCCTTACATGCCTCACTGGCTCACATATTGGCCAAACTTGGACAAATAAGTGGGTCAAATGCCCAGGGGCGGGAGCCAAAAAAATGCCCCACCCAGAATGACACTGCTCAAAAATTATTCAATATAAAATCACAAATATCAAATGTGGACTTAGTATGCAAATGCTTGGCAATTGCATATGTGGGAGAAGAGGGGTGGGCACTTCTAATATTGGCTGGTGCCTAATAATAAAGAAATCTTTGCTTACAATATTTGCCTCTTTTGCAATTAAGCACTTCAATCTCTGATTGAGCTACAAAATTTCAGCTTTGAATTTGAAAGAAGATGGGCCACCTTAGGTTTTCACGAGAAACTGATGCTGTGATTAAATAGTTTTTGTATTAAGTGGATTCATAAATTATCACAAAATTTCACAAAAGAAAGAAATAAAGCTAGTCTATGGCCGCACATTTGTGCTTTTGTCACTCAGAAATATAATTTAATACCATTCCATTTAAAAATGGAATCTGAAAATATGGTCTAAATTTGCGAGATATTGCACATGTGAACCAATACAGTTTTAGAGAGCCAATTTCTCCTTGAATATTACATCCAAAGTTCAGCGCTAACAATTACTTAGCTTCACAGCGTGATGTCATCTCTTAGTAAAGTCATTAATGTACGCTAATGAGGCAATTAAGTGCAATGACTAAGCAAAGATAAATATATTGATTACATTTAGCGCCCTCCTTCTTATTTAAGCGCTCCCTTTCTAATAAGTGCTCGTTATTGAGTGGCATTTTTCTTTTAAAAAAAAAAGCACCCCTTTTCAAATTTTATTAAAGCGCCCCTTCTTTTAAGCGCCCCGGCCCATAGCGAAAGGTACATTTGAGACTTTGACATAGTATAGCGCCAAAATCGAATCATTACAGTCGGGTACTCGATAATTAGATTATTTCATGACATCTGTATATCTAATTATTTATGCGCAAAAATGTCGGGCAAACTAAATGTCACGAAACGCAAGGCAGTCGATCAAGCAAATGAGATAACTTAAATTTAAGACATCTCGAGAAACAAAAGCGAGTTTACGGAAACCACGACGACGATGTCGAAGTGAAAGTCCCCGGAATAAAGGTTTTGAGTAAACCAGCTGCTTTGCATCTTTGTTCATATGAATCTCGGTGCTGTGAAAACAACACAACGTGAACGTGAAACGGTGAATTATTAACATTTCAAACTGCACGCTGCCCAAATATGAGCTTACATGGCTAGCTTTCTGGATCCAGAAATTAGCGAAACTCTCGTTAGTAGAATTGGTCTGGGCCTAATTAAGAATTGAATCTGTTTGAAATCTAACTGTACTCGTGACTAAACTTGGACTATTTTGAATTTCATTTCTCCGATAATCAAACCCATGCACGCTGTTTCCTCTTAATGCGTTATCAGAAATTGTCTACCTACATGCTTTTTCTTTGGCCCATGCTTCACCCTCCAAACGAACATCCTCAAACTCTATGTTCGCTGCAGCGAAGGAAAGTCGACACGCTTCTCCCCTGCCACGGGCAGGAAAATAATACAACTTGTAACCAGACATTTTCTGCTGCAGTTCAGTTCAACTCTTCGTGCGAATGAACACTCCTCGGAACACACCTCCAACCGGGGTCAACTACGGCTGACCAAGGATGACTCTGGATGACTCAACTAAAATGTATTTCTCCTACCAGTCCACGGTAGGAATAGCAGGTAACGATACTTGCGTGACATATGATGAGCCATCAGTTGCCATCATGCGTCAACACGTCACACACAAACAAACTTCAGTTAAGGTGGCTGGCAACACTTATTCCTAGTTCAGTTGATACTACAGTAACGTCATCGCCAAAATGTGCAAACGTTGAAGCTACATTCATTTCACACGTACAAGTTACGATAAAAACTGCGTGACGGGCCTGTTAGAAGCGAAAAATAAGAGTGTTTTAGCGAGTTTAATATTCTATTGCTATGGTATAACCAAACCTTTGGCGTGCAAGCTTCAAAGAACGAGAATTAAAAAAGGGCACGGTCTGGTTACCAAGGTTACCAAGGCTGTCCAAGGGCCGTAACCCGCAACGCCTGTTAGGCTGAGACATGCCCTTGATGTTATATTTTTGGAAGGGGCGGGGGAAAGGGGGAGGGGGGGGTGCAAAGTAAAATCTGCTGAAAAAATATCGTGCAAGCCAGGGGAACCATGGGGGAAAAGTCGAGCAAGTGCTTTCTGCCATCATTATTTTTCTTTTCATGTTAAAAAATATCATGCACATCTTTAAGGTGAGGTGACGTTCAATTCATTTTGCGTTCTGGACAACCCGTGAGGTCGTAATACGACATGTCTTTTCTCAGGACACCAGTGACGACTTTCTTGCCTTAGAAGTGTGTTGGCTTCTTTTGCTTGTGTTGCTTGAGCGCACGAGTCGCTGACGTTGCTTTCTTTCTTTAGCTTTTCCCGATGAAAGAAGAAAGTTGTCCGAATTTGAATGGCAGAAAGAGAAAATACGGTAAGTTGATGTGAAGTCTTCATGTCAGTAGCTTGTAATGGCCCGCACCCGATCACTTCGCTCTCCGAATTCTTCAGTTTCCCGGATTTTTTTCCGTCCTCGCCGGGAGCCTGTTGGCAGGCTACAGTCTAAAACGCCCGAAAACGCTGACGAAAAGGGAGGCGAGAGCCGTTTTGCCCGCATGAGACCTATATGGAAATTCAGCAGCTACAGCTTGTAAGGGCAAACTTAGACCACCTCGATCTGTACGAACAGAGTGCTGGAGGATGACTGCAGACTTGCTACCTTTCACTCACCAACTGTCTTAGGAGATCACGCGAGTTTTTTGACCTCACAAAATCTTCAATGCCAGAATACTACAAGCCACAAGACAGGAAATGGCGGGGCCACGTGCTAAGCCAAATGGAGCCCACAGCGCATGCAAGAACTGCGCTGACATGGTTTCCAGAGGGTCGAAGGAAAAGGGGGCGCCAACGAACAACATGGAAGAGAACGCTACTGAAAGAGATGAACAGTGCTGGTGTTGGTTGGGAGAGGGCCACAAGATTAGCCCAAGATAGGGTGATCTGGAAGAACTTCATTGAGGCCTCTTGTGCCACTATGGCATAGCGGGATTGAGTGAACAGACAAAACAGCAATACTAGACTAATTAAGTACTTAAAAAGTTTGCTTTTATTTGTCTCCAGTGCAGTTAAAAATCTTGTTCCTTCGAACATAGACGGTAAAACCAGCTGGTCAACGTTCAGTTTCTGGGCGTTTGTCGAGCCAGGCCTTAATTCCAGGAACTTCCCGCACTTTCTTGTAATGTTCCTCTAACTTTGAGAATTTAATGAGCTCCTCAGGAACTTCCGGTTTACCTTTACCCAGAAAGTTGTTGAAGAAGTCGAAGAATATGATGTCAGCATAGGTCAACTGAGAATATCAGAAGATAAATCGTGTTAGAATTTGTTCTCAGATTTTCGCAAATTTAAATGTTCGTTCGTTCAGTCTGTTTTTCTCTCGAAATTCAGCAGGAGTTATGAGGAATGACACTTTAACATAAAGGGGAATGGGACCAGACATGGGCGCGGTACGCACGAGAAGAAAAACAGACTGCAGACTCTTCTCATGTTTTTGAGGCCATTTACACTTGTCAAAAATAATCTAATTAATCAATTAACTAATTAAAATCAACTAGTTTTTCGCGGGAATAACATGAACCGATTGCTCAAACTCTAGCGTTGTGTTTACGAAATGCCAAATGCTTTTGTCGGGCAAATTTCGCAAGCAGAGGTTATTCTTCGATGTCGTCCACAAGAGAAACACCTATGTAAATGTTTATTTATAAAGCCGAACAATGGCATATATAACACGCAAAACAATCAAGAGTTGCGCGTAAACAACTACATTTGAATCATGTGGTGCCACAACCACCAAAAGGAGGAATAAACCTATTCATCGAGCTCGAGAAACATATGCTCGATCAGATAGCTGCAAGAAACATAAGAATGTCCCCAAAGAAACGTATAGCTTACTTGAAGTAAAGCTGCCGCGTCTCCGAAGAAAAACGCACGAGGATAAATTTTCCGTGATAAGAATCTACCTGCTGACGAGTGCTGTACTTGCAAACAGTACAGTTCTAATCACAGCCGGGCCCGGCGTCACTATATAGAATGCAAGTAAGCAACATTTTCGCGGTAAATCTCATATTTTTTTCCTTCAAAAGCAAATTCTGGGAGACTTAAAAACATATCTTACAATGGAAATGAACCTCAAAAATGCAGAAACACGTGGCAAATTACAGAGGTGTCAATCTCAACGAAGCGACTTGCAGACAACAGCGGAAATCAAGCAGACCTATGACCTCTAAAAATTTTGCCATAGCACGGTCTTTATACAACAAGAAGTGCCCTTCATAAACACGAGTGAAGCGACAAAAAGGTCGAATGACCNGAAAATTTTACAGTGCTTTGGGGGACAAAAACTACAAAATACCATCAAAAGGCCATTAGTTCCACTTACTAATAAGTTACAACAATTTTGGTAGAATAATTTGTGACTTAAATTAATTAAATACACAGGAAGGTGTTAAAATTAATTATGGTAAATTTGGCTGTGTTACAGAACAAATTGATAAAGGTTGCATTTAACGTGCTCTAAACAGGCTGAGTGTGAAGTATGCAAAAAGTAGAGTACAGGAGGATACGTGGAGTATGGGAAAAATTAACGAGAACTCGCGGACTCTTTTTCTGTCAAAAGAAACCACTCTACATTTTTCTTGCTTCAGCACTTTCCAAACTCTGCATCATCCACACCACTCATTGTCCATACTCTGAATCCATACTCTGAATCTCACATTTTCCTGTAATCTATACATTTACCTGTAATCTATACAGGTTTGAGAGATACGAGTTAAAACAAATTACCATAACATTAAATTCTATGGGCACTGCTTAAAACTTATGATAGTGTACCTCCTTTTTTGCATACGTATTTCATTATTGTTGCAGACTGGGCAAGCACTTTTCCTTCTGGAGTCACAATGAAAGGCATTTGGCCAAATGGAGGCCGGCCAGCTAGAAACAACAGAATTTAAAACACTTATTATTTACCCAAGGCAAAGTAAAGCAAAGCCAGCTTCCATTGCTGTCACATGACTAATAGTGCTCATTCTCCCTCAGGCTCGCCAGGCCAACCACAGGGCATTAGCAAAAAAAACAACAACAACAACAACAAAAATTAAAAATTTCCCAGGGTGGGGACAAACAAGGTCATGGTCACGCGAGCCACCGCGTAATTAGCCAGCTGCGAGCAGTCTCCCTTTTGCTTGAAAATCTACGGGGGAAGAATGCAAACAACCCAACACAAGTGGCAGTCGAGAGCGCACGAGCCGTGCCAGCATGATATGCAAAGCCACAACCTCGCCGCTCACACATCACACTCACAGTCAAACTTACATGCTCACTGCTTGTTTTGCACTCTTTCCCACCGGTTAATTGGGCAAAAGAGAGACCGCTCGCAGTCTAGCAAGTCATGCAAGCCATTCCAGTTAGCCTTAAAATTAAAATAACAGTCTGGTTAGCCTGAATAGGACCTCATTAGCCTAAAATTATAGCTCTCCCCATCTTAAAAAAGGGTTTCCTTAGTTAGCTAGTGACCTTAAAGCCAGTAAGGATTACAAGTATTGGCTCACATGGCTTGCTTGCTGGTTAGCTGTAGCCTATTAAATAACACTCCTTTTACCCAAAAAAGCATGGCCTTTTAGTCTAAAATTAGCACTGTGGTTAGACTGACATAGCTTCATTAGCTTGTGGTTTGCCTTTCTATGTGGGTTAGGACTCCTAGTTCGCATGCCTTGCATACCTTGCTTGCTTGTATATTGGCCAACAAACTCATACAAATAAGTGGTTCATGAAGCCCTGGGCTGGGAACAAAAAAATGCCCCACCCTCAACTCATCCAGATCATGACACTGCTCAAAAATTATTTAATAAATCACAATGAAATGTGCACTTAGACATGTGCAAATGCTTAGCTAATTGCACAGGCAGGAGAGGGGGGTGGGCACTGCTGGTATTGACTGGTGCATAATAATAGTGAAATCTTTGTTCAACAAAACTTGCCTCTTTTGCATAAGCATTTCAATCTCTGATTGAGCTAACAATTACTTAGCTTTTCAGCATTATGTCATCTCTTAGTAAGGTCATTAATACGCTAATGAGACAAATTGCAATGACTAAGCAAAGATTACCATAATGATTAGATTTGGCGCTCTCCGTCTAACTTTAGTGCCCCCTTTCTAACAAGCGCTCCCCACTGAGTGTAATTTTTCTTTAAAAAAAATAAGCACCCTGTTCAAATATTATTAAAGTGCCCCTATTTTATAAGCACTCCCAAAGCAAAAGGGTCATTTAAGACTTCTACATAGAATAATTTTGTGCGAAATCGAATCATTACATGTACAGTCAGGTACTCGATTATTAGATTATTTCACTTTGACATGACATCCGTAAATCTAATTAATCAATTTACGTACAAAAAAATTCGGACAAAATAAATGTCACGAAACGCAACGCAGTCGATCAGGCAAATGAAATAAACGAGAAACAAAAACGAGTCTACAGAAACCACGACGACGATGTCGAAGGGAAAGTCCCCGAAATAAAGGTTTTGAGCAAACCAGTTGCTTTGCATCCACTATTGTTTACATAAATCTCGGTGCAATTTTCTAACCGTCCTGTGAAGAACAACACAACTTGAGCCTGCAACGGCGAATTGTTTATTTTTCAAACTGAACGCTGCCCAAATATATCTAGCCAGCTTTCTGGATCGAGAAATTAGCGAAATCATTACACATTTTGATGACATATGGGATCGATTCGAATTGAGTATGTTTGAAATCTAAATGTACTCGTGACTAAGCTTGGACTATTTTGAATTTCCTCTCTCTGATAATCAAATCAATGCACTCTGTTGTTTCTTTACGTTATATGTTGCAAAATCACCAAACTTTTCGAACCCAGAAAATAACGAATTTGTCTACCTACATGCTTTTTCTTTGGCCCATGCTTCACCTTCCAGACGCACATCTTCAAACTCTATGTTCGCTGCAGCGAAGGAAAGTCGACAAATTTCTCCCCTGCCACGGCCAGGAAAGTAATACAACTTGTAACCAGACATTTTCTGCTGCAGTTCAGTTCAACTCTTCGTGCGAATGACCACTCCTCGGAACACACCTCCAACTGGGGTCAACTACAGCTGACAAAGGATGACTCGACTCTGGATGACTCAGCTAAAATGTTTTTCTCCTACCAGTCCACAGGAAGGATAGGAGGTAACGATAGTTGCGTGACATGTCACGAACCATCAGTTAAAAAAAGAAACAAACAAACACGCGAGTTAAAGAGGCTGGCAACACTTTTCTGTTTCAGTCGATACTACAGTAACTTCATCACCAATATGTGCAAACGTTGAAGCTAGATTTATTTGACCCGTACAAGTTACGATGATGCGTGACGGGCCGGTTAAAAGCGAAAAATAAATAAACAGTGGTCTCCATTTGGCGCGAAAATATGGTGAAAAAACATATCGTGCAAGGGGAACCATGGGGAAAAAGTCAAGCAAGTGTTTTCTACCATCATTATTTTCATTTTGATGTTTAAAAGAAAATTCTTGCACAAGCTCCCTATAGAAAACCCTCCCTATAGAGCGCGAGTTAGAAGAGGAAACTTCGTTAATTTCTCTTTAAGTATTCCCCGTAGAGATTTACCAGTAAAGGTACTGTTATTAAAATAACGCTTATCTTTTGGTTGTCAATTTTTGGATTGAGGCCGTTACCATGGCAACATCTCATCTAATGACTGGCAGATGTATTTCTCATTTCCGCCTCATGACTCCTTGATATTTATACTTTCCTTCGGTGAATTTTTTTTTTTTTTTTTTTTTGCCACAAGCATCATGGAAATGATATTGCCTGGCATTTTGAATTGGTGAAAAGTCAAGGTTGTTCGAACGGTTTAATCTAATATTCTGTAATTTGTCATTGCTCTAAATATATTAGCTCTGACAGATTTTAACAAAAATAGGGTATTTTATAGGAACTGTATGTGGTTACAACTGAGCCAGATTTTCAAAAAAAAATTCACCGAAGGAAACGCGAGAAAATTCACTGTTAGTTTTACTTTTTGTGCATGCTCATGTTGACGTCATAAAAGTTTTCCGTTGAGCGCGCGCAGATTACGTACTCGAGCTTTCGTCCTATGTGCGTGTGCAATCGTAAAACTATAGGGAGCCACCTTAATATACTGATATTTAACTGCCATAGTCACCGCCGCATTAGCCTTTCGTCAGAGTGAAGCCCAATACAACGGCCACCATGGGGGCAGTTTATGGGGAGGTGGGGGTGTAATATGACACCTGTTCTTTTTCGGGAGGTGCAACATTTTTTAATTTCATAAAACTCATTGAAACAGAAAGCACAAAGAAACAGGGGCCGACGACGCGCGCGCGCGGCACGGATCTCAAGTTTCATGACCATATGTGCCAGTTTAGATGCGCTTTAGTGGCCTCTGGGTTAAGGGAGGGGGCGGTGTTGAGGATACTGTCTTAAATGGGAGCTGTTTCGGTATGTGCAACCCCAAATGGTACGGGTTTTTGAGCGGTTTGGCCTTAAAACGGTTATAGATTTTGACCATATTGGTCAGAAATAGGGTATGTTTTTCACTCTGGTTTGGCATTGGGTCAGTTTGCCGCCTACGGGGAACTTGTTTCCTCTGCACCAAAATTGGCAAATTTGTCGCCTTTCTGGAATTTTTACGCAAATGGAAGTCATTTCTGGTTAGCTGAGGTCATAGAGCTGTGGGGCAATTTCAGAGGTTGAAAATGGGATATTGGTTCTTGGCTCAGATCTGAAATAGGTCAGGACTTAATTGGGCCGTACACACCCACCAAAACTTTGAGTAGTACCTCCCACTCCCCCTACGGAGTGGCTTTTGCCACTGTGGAGAGGTGACCATTGTAAAGAGGTTAAAGCAAGACTGCATATGGACTGTCCACTTCCAAAGAAAAGTGGCTGTTGAAGAGAAGTGGCCATTAGTGGAGATTCACTGTTTTATTGTTTTATTAATTCACTGGTCTTAAACAATCATTATGCACTTTTAAAGCTTTGCTTTTAGTAATTTGTTCTGTTCTTCTTATAATTTATTGTGACGACTTAAAATATGTCACTACAAACTCAAAGTTCAACGTGGACGGACAGTAAGTTGTTTAGAAGTCGGTTTTCGGGCGTTTCTCGACCCAGGCCTTGATTCCGGGAACGTTAAGGACGCGGCTGTAATGCTCCACCAACTTTGGGAATTTATCAAGCTGCTCAGGAACATTTGGTTCACCTTTTGCCAGGAAGCCATTGAAGAAGTCAAAGTACATGATGTCAGCATAGGTCAACTAGAGAAAATAAAAATGTAGACATGTGATAAGCAAGAGCTTTTTTTCTGCAATCAAGCATTCCCAGGGGGAAGCCATATGAGCTAGTTACCCATAGCAAGAAATAGTAGCAGCAATGGCATATTGCTACCCCCACCCCACCCCCCCTACCCTGCTCACTCTCATTCGTGTTTGATCATCTAAGTTGTTGTTGTTTAAAAGTTGTTTTTAGTTGTGACCTAAATTCACAGCCACCCCCCCTCCCCCCTCCCCTTCAGGGAGGGGGGAAGAGGCCTCCCATATGAAAAGGTCGGGGTTGCCCATTATCTCTAATGAATCAAGGATTCTGGTCTCACTTTGGGTGTTCATGGTAATTGTAATGGTAATGGTCCGGTAATGGTAACTTTATTTATACACTGTAAATACTTCAGCAAAGATTGTAAAATGATAAAAGATCAACTAATTATCCCTAACTAAACTAACTAACCTAAACTACAAACTAAAAGCTGCTGTACAAGGATGCTGAGTTAAAACTCATTCAAAACTGTGGTGACGTATGTTGAGTTTAAAATCAGTTAAAGATGTTGCTGCACGAAGGTCACTGGATAGGCTGTTCCACAACCTGGCTCCGCTGAAAGAGAAACTCTTCTTCAAATAATTGGTGCCAGGCTGCGGAAAAGCCAGTTCATTTATTAATGGCGAAAAGTATCTTTTAGGTTGTCACCAAAGATCTAATATTTAAAAAAAGCCTTTATTTCTGTTTTTAGGCTTGATTTCCACCACCACAGTCTCTCAAGTCCTATCTACTAGCATGGGCTTCTATCCTGAACAGCAGCTGGTAATCAATCCCATTCCATTTTAAGTGATATCTCTTAGGGGTCAAATGAAGCTCGAGCCACGCCTAGATTGGACTCCTTTAGGGGTTTAACTTAAATTTTCCGATGAGCATCCCTGACCTTGTCATATTGGGAGTGTACCACACCAGCACCACAACTCTAAGGACTGTGCCTGCAACTAGCCTGCTCCAGGCACTTCCAAAACCATCATTTACTTTTCCACTTGCCACCTAGCTGAGTGACTGGAACAAGTTTACTAGTGGCTTGCTGCAGTATCCTAACTCATGCAGCATACAGGCAGAATTTAAATCCTGTTAAAAATTAACTTGACTTGGAAGAATTTCTCCGGATAAGCTCGTACTCATTACAGTCCCAGGGGGTACTCTACAAAGTAGAGAGGTTCTGCCTGGAGGTCCTTCTCTTATAGAGAAAAAGGTGCCCCCTTCACATACCACCTTATGAACACTAGATCCCTTTTCTAAACCCATGAATGATGATGTAGTGCTTAATAAATTAAACAATACAGCCATAAATGTAAATGTAAAGGCCATTTTAAATAACTAAATGATAAATTTCCCTACCCTTTCATATGCCTCAACTTTTGAAATCCATACCCTTTTGTCCACGTATACCTGAAAAAGGTACCCCCTTTGGGCAGAGCCTCCAATATAGGCCATTATAGGGGGTTACACCTCCCCCCCCCACCCCACCCGGCATTACAGGTAGATAATGTGAAATTGTATGCTACACTCATTGTTAACAGCTTGGCAGAACACAACCTTATGTTTACCTTCTCTCCCATAAAGAAAGGACCTTTTAGCAGGCCGTCGAATTTCTCAAGTCGGGCAGGAAGCGTGGTGTCATAGAACTCTTTGTTGAGTTCCTCCTGCGAAACACACAACGAAAGTATTCAGCAAACAGTTAATATAAATAAATTACTTTAACAGTAACTAACTAAATAAATAGATTACAATATTTTGAGAGAGGAAGCCACATCAGGCTTGCTAGTTTTCATGTGGGTCCTCCATACATCCTAAAAACAATGTATTAAGTTCAAAAGCATATTGCAAAGGTTTAAAAATATTTTTAATTTTTTCCAATTATTACTTTTAGCAGGGCCTCTAGATCTGTTGATACCAGTTTTATTTATAGAGCTGACTGAGAGGTTACCCTGATAAAAATTGTAAAGGCTAACTTACTTACTAAGATTAGTGTCCCCTATGGAACAGCTAGTGTAGCTGTATGTTGAGGGTGATAATTTACTAACAACCCATGTGAGATCGACTGTCTTTGTACTACCTTAAGACCCAATGAAATACTTTTAGTACCTTTTTGGCCTCATCCTTTTCAAAGTGAGCCTTAATTACAGCATTCTTGATATCAGTGACACCATCGGTTATCATATCAGCCACAGCTTCATCAAAACTGTCATCCGGAAATAAGCCTATGTACAAAAAATATGCTTGTCAAGGTCACTGCTTACAAATATTTAAAAATGCCCCCTAAGAACAAATTTCCCTCCCCAGGGGAGAATCCCACATACAAAGGACAGCGTGTTTGTCATACCTTTGAGTGGTTAAAAAAGCAGTTTTGCTCCCTTTTAACAACAACACAGTTTTATTTCTACTACTGTAAACAACTAAAAGAATTTACAAGATTGTAAATTTACAAGATTTCTTAGGGTGTCAGCCTCAAAAGGTCAACAGCCGGAGCTTTTATGGTACAGTTTTAAAGTTTTGAGTCAAAAAAATATGACAGGAAGTAATGTGTTTATTTATTTCTGGCACCTCTTAGGGGATGTACCACGCTCAAAAACATGATCTTGGTACCTCTTAGAGTTTTTTTTTTTAAATTGGCAACAAGCTGACCCAAATCTTTTTACATGGGAGTCCCCCCAGGAAATTTCCACCTTTTCTAGGCTCAGAGAAGCTTCGACCTTCCAGCTGATTGGTGTACATGTATTACCCACCCACTTAAGAGAATTCATAGATAACGAGTGTCATGTAAAAACACACCAGAAGTAGCAGGAAGGGCAGGGCTATAATAGAGACACTGTGAGAGAGTCTTGTGACAGAGTCTTGAGAGAGTCTTGAGAGTGTGAGAGTCTTGCCCAAGAACACAATGCAATAACCACAGTCAGGGCTCAAACACCTCACATGAAAAACATGGTGGTGCTTGCCGTACCTTTTAGGGGTTTAAAAGCAGGTTTGGTATTTCTTAGGGTGTTATTCTGCTAAAGGTTCACAACAGGAGCTTTCACAGTACATGTGCCTTTCAGGGTATTGAGCCCCCCAAAAAATGACAGAAGATATTTGACAGTAACAAATCAACTATCAATGTGGGGTGTGTGCACTCCCTTGGACTACACAGGCTTCACCTGAAAGGGTTGTCTACTCCTGGTTAGTCTCCCAAGAGGCTACTATTTCGATCACCATGTAACATACCTGCCAACCTCCAGGGTACAAAAATCTGGAGACATCTAGAAATCTTTGCATTGTAAGAATGTCATTTTCAACGATGCCTGAATACTCTCTGAAAATCACCCGAAGGCCTTTCGAATGTTTCTTCACTCCCTCAAAGCGCGAGGG